GAAAATGAAGGTGAATGTCTTTGGAGGGAGTCATTATTCAGTCTACCAAAGAAACCCAACAAGTTCTTGGCACCCAATCCATACAAACTTATGGATAGGTAGTGGCAACCTAATTTATACTTAAATGATTTATTTACTCAGTCATTCAGCTAACATCTAGCCCATACCAGCCCTGTGCAAGATGTACTCAGTCTGGGAAAACAACTGTGGAATACCCACCTCAGTAGCACATACACTAACGTTGGAATGACACAAAGAACGTCAGCACAGCCCCAGCCCAAGGCTGACACACAAATTTGTGAAGCATTCCACATTTTAAAAAAGAAAACAACGGTGAAGCAGACAAATGTGGTCTTAGTTTATGGAAAGTGGATTTGCAGTCAAACAGCTTCATAATTATGGCAGTTATGCAATAGTATATTAATGGTGAGTGGTCTATTTATAACTGAGGAAAGAAGTAACCTGGCATAGTCTCTGACGTACAAGACTTTCAGCTGTTGCGATGAAGCATGTTCAGGTAAAGGATCTGAAATGACTGAGCTAGGCCATACCAGCTTCCAAGCAATGTCTGAGGCACAGCCACATATCCGGGCTAGCACTCTCTCACTCCATCCTATATCCTACTATAACACCTTGCAGACGGAGAGCAGAGCTAGGAGCTAAGAGTACTCGTCTTGTGCCCGGCTCCCTTTCCCCTTACACTTGTCAGATGGATCTTCCCCTGTTCTATGTTTAGCAAGTTTCATTATTTGGGGAGCATATTGAGGTTAGTAGAGGGGAAAATGGCTGCCCTTGAAAAAAGAGTTCAATATGGTCACAGATTCCAATCACAGGAGCCGCATGCAGCCAAAGGCCACAGAGGCAAACCAGGGGGCAGGAGGCAGGAGGCCAGAAGGGACTGTGGGCAAGAGAACTCGGTGTGATGTCCAAGGGAAGTGACAGGTAAGGGAAGACAAGTAGGCTTGGGATTGTCATTTTTTAAATATGGTCATCAGGTTCTGCAGTTTAAGGACTGTGACTGAGGTTGGGAACATAGTGGGCAGAGTTTAAGAGCCTGATAATGGTGGTAGTTGTGAGAATGTCTTACTTACTTTTTACTCAGTGCTGGGACAAAATACCAACACCCAAAATGAAGGAAGGAAGGAACGGTTCATTTAGATCAAAGATAGTGGAGGTTTCAGTCCATACTGCACTGGCTCCAAGGCAAAGAGCAGCAGTTCATGGTGGCAGAAAACAGAGAAGAGCAGAGGAGGAGCAGCAGCTGCGGCATCCGTCAAGCCTCTCTCTCTTCCTTCTATGCTGACTGCAAAGACCAGTGGTCCACCATGAAGATCAGAGCCCCTCCAAAGTGGCACAGCTGAGAAGTGGCACAATGAAGACCGGCACTTCTCCAAGGAAGTGAAGGATGCAGAAGCCTTCCTCACATCCTTTATATGTCCTTTTCTTGCTGAGTCACTCTGCAGAGCGTCTTCCCTGCCCTAGGGCAGCCCCGTCCTGCCCTAGGATGGACCCTTCCTGCTCTGAAAGGCAGAGCCCCCACACCCAATCCAGCTAAGTTGACACAATGTATCAACCACTACAGGGCACATCACCAGGTTATCCAGTACAAAGTGCCCCAGCACACATACGTGTGGGAAATGCCAACTTGTCAAGTTCACAGAAGTTACTTAGACACCCTGCTTATTGACTCGAAGGATCATGATATACCTCTAAGGACTTCAACATTTTTAATTGTTATACAAATTTAAATCACGCCTTTATAAAAAGTACACGTGGGGCCAGCGAGATAGTTCAGCAGACTAAAGTGCTTGCTAGGCAGGTCCAAGGACCACGGTTCGATCTCTGGCACCACATACTACACCAGCCCTGCCCCCAGGGCAGGCTGAGCCAGCCAGGTGCAGTGGTGCATGCCTGTAATCCCAGTGCTGAAAGTAGGAGGCTCACCACAAGTCTGAGCTGTATAGTGAGATCCTGTAATGACCAGATACATTTTTTTTAAGTACAAGTGACCAGCCAGCCTGAATAAAGCTGTTTATGCACCCACTTTGGCCTCTGAAACGTGAAGCTCTGAAATTCACAGGAGAGCAGCCTGTGACTTCTCCAGCACATCAGCTGCTTCTAATCATTGATCTTCCACTTTTCAAAAACTACCTTAGAAACAATTTTACCATGCATTGGGCTGACATATCAGGCCCCAAAAGAATGACATCTTTTTTTGATTGATTACTTGGTGTTTGCTTCAAATTACAATTTGGTTTGGGGCAGACGTGAACGATATCTGAACTCCTGTGGATTCTGGAGTGCTTTGGATCTTGCTTGCTGGTCTGAATCAAGTTGGCACAGGAGCAGCACAGACAGCTCATCCTTCTTCTTCAATTTGTCCCCTGGGTAATGCTGAGATGTTGAAATAATTTGAAGCAGGAACTCCTTCCAGGGCTGAGATAAAATAAAGAGATTGCAGCCTTGAATAATGCCAAAGGGAGGATTTTGTAACATCTTGTAAATTGTCACTGTTCTGAAATATCTCATAAATGGCAGGATGAGAAAACTGACACTTGTTACTCCTAGAGAAGCTGGCCCTGAGCGCCCCAACTTCGCAGCTCAGCACGGGCAGCAGAAGGGTGAGCAGCACATGCGGACAGCCTCCTTCGTGACAGACACGAAGTTTGCTTTTCTTTCGAATCAAATAAATATCAGTCCTGCTTTGTAAATGAAACAGCCACAGTAAGCCTCTCCGCTGCTAAAGAACTTAGCCAGTTACTCATTGCCAGCCTGGCAACCCCGCATAATTTTCACCCTCTTGTCCATATTCTTAATAGTGGTCCAAATAGTGTCGGAGCTAGACAGGGCTTCGTTATTCCTCCCTGCAGACTTAACCTCTTCATCTGAGAGGAGATCATTAACAGAAAGTGCAAATTGACCTGGACCACGCTATGTCCCAACTGTAGCCGGTGTAGGCTGAAGATGAAAAATGATCTCGCAGTGGCAATTGATCTCTTTATAGACACACTCATGTCCCCTTGACACATACTGAACATCTTACCTCCCACTTTTGCTTTGATTTCTAGCTTTTAATTCATCATTCATATGTAAATCACAGTTTTATGGTAAAAGGTAAACTTTTATACATCATATATTTATAAGACACACAGAAACTTTCAGTTTGCTCAGAAACTGCTCAGTGTTCTGGGATCCTTTCCCCCAGATTTCTAGTACTTTGTACTCAACCAGTCATGCTGGCATCTGAATACAAACCCATCTTAGCAGGAACAACAGATTGAGAGAATTTAAGAAGAAACACCATGCTGAACTTGAGCTCCAATTCCAGAATATATCTTTGGAAGAGTTCAGATTAATGTTAGGTCCGTGTTAGTCTTTTAACCAAAACTGTAGGAACTGGCAAACACAACAGGACTTGAGATGATGCTGCAGCTTCTAGTCCAGCACTTCAGCTAAGTGCACCCTCTCTGCTAGCAGCTACAACACTGCGCTGAGACCCCAGGACTGGTGTGGATGGACACGCAGCAGTGGAGCAGGGTGAAGGCTGACTCACAGCACGGGGGTCTAGATGAGACTCGGCATTTCAGCTGGCTCCGCTACTCACCAGACTTGATGACCTGCTGTCCTTTCTGGATGAGTCTCCTCTTGTGTTAATCTGTTGCAACTAGCCGGAAAAATGCACAGTAAAGTGGCCAGGACAATGGTTGAATGGATAAAGTCATACAGATGGTACTGGAAGTATGAAGTCTAGACTGGACTATTGAAATGAACCACCCCACAGATACAAGACCTTGGGCTGCTTTCCACTCCTTAAGTATCCCTTTATGTGAGCCTCGGCCACACCTGCATGACAAGCTAGCCACAGAGTAGTGGGGCTCTGTTGATGTACTTATCCCATGTCCAAAAACCACAGCTCAGTCCAACACAGTTATTTTCCACTAGGCTGTAATTATTTCTCAGTCATGCCTCCATTGGGAAGGCTTTCTCCAGGTTTTCCCAAGGTTGTTTGTCCGTGAAAGAGCAGGTGCATCACTCCCCTGTCCTGGACCATCTGTCTGGCACTGCATTTCTGTGAGCAGCACACAGTGCCCCCTTCTCTAGCTCCTAAGAGTCTGCATCCACCCAGGAGGCGAGATCCTTCAACATGGGACATGATAAGGTTATGTGCACTTCATGTGTATTACATAACTTTCTATACGGATAAAAAGTTACTTGGTGGGCCAGGGAGATAGCTTAGTGGAATAAGTGCTTGTCTGGCAAGCTCAAGGTCCTGAGTTCAATCCCTGCTACCACAAAAAAAAAAAAGAAAAGAAAAAGTTACTTGGTGTTAGAAAAGCCTTTCAAATTCTCAGGTAATGTCATTCTGAACTATGTCTCCACATCATGGCAGACTCTCCAGCAGATACTGAAGAGGAGGAGGTACCAGCTGGTAGAGAATGTATGGGAGAGTATCCCACCACTGAAAAGAATGCCAGAAAGAAATCCACTTACAAAGTAGAGCTCACAGTGCTGGAGACGCTGGGCCATGATTGCTCCACCAGTTGTTTTGAGCCTATGCAGTGCAATGCGCCGTGGTGGGAGCACGTGGTGAAGGAAGTTGCCAGGAAACAACAGAAGGGACCAGGTTCCCCATATTCCCTGCATGAGCACGCCCCAGGGACATGGACTTCCCACTAGGCCAGCCTGCTGACGGTTCCACCACCTCCCAATAGCACCAAATTTTAACACATGGACCTGTGGGGGACATTCAGCCAAACCACAACAGCAAAGGAGACAAAGCCCCGAATCTATGGGAGAAGGAAGAACTGAGAAGAGAAAGGAAGGGAGACAAGGAAAAACAGCACAATTGAGCCAAAAGTAACAAGGAAACAAAGTTTGCCCCAAGAAACCTAACTGAATAGATCATATATTTTTGTTTGCCTTGGCTTTCAGATATAAAGTTGGCAACATACAATTCAGGAGTCAGAAGAAACTACAAAGTGGGTCCCCTTCAAAGGATACCCAAGGGTAACTTCTTGTTTACCTGCCAACAGTGTTGCTTGGACTTTGTCAGAAAAACTGTCAAGGCCAGACCTCGGCAATCTTTCCCATTTTGGGAAAAAAAAAGAAAAAAAAAATATTGCTTCGTATACATGCTTTTGCAAAGCCAGCATCTGTTTCCTTGGAAACCTGAAAACTCTAAAGTCAGTAGTAGAAAACCTTGGGTCTGGATGCATGTTGCCTTTGGTGTTGGCTAACGGTAAACATTTCAGGGTCTTTGTGTGTCTGACCCATCAGGCCTGGTTTGTGGCTTTTTAGACAGATACCATTAATGACTG